CCCCCCCCTTACCCATCATGCTCAATATTTTTAACCTCAATTTTAGTAATAGTCATAGCCACTGTCTGATTTTTTTTTTGTCTAGTTAACTTTCATAACAAATTTTAACAATAACATTGTGTAAATGTAATGATAAAAACAATCGAAAGTGAAAAATGTAAGTAAATAGCTCATTAATTTTTCCACAAATGGCGAGTTCAGAAATAAAACGAGGTTTTCAATTATACTGGCATGATGCAGTTCGACTCGCTTTCAACGTCGCTACAAATTTCCATTGCATGCATGAGAAGCGCTGCCATTTTCTTCCTCCATAACATCTTCTTCCACGTCGTCCTGGCCAAGTGTATCGCTATCTTTAGCCTGACAGGCTGCACTTTCCTTCACCGAGTGGCTCTTTTTATGGCGGTTTTTCGCAGCTTTGCTGGGCCAATAGCTACCACATTTTTCGCAAACGCACTTCTTAAGTTTTTCCTGCATTGAAGGGCAGTAGAGATCGAGTGGACATTGTTTAAACTCTTTCGCTTTGGCGGGTAGATTCTTAATGATTAATCGTTTCTCTAAATCAGCAAAAATGATTTTTTTTGGATCCTTGAGATATTCCGATGGCTCAACAGCTCTAAGTCCATTCACTGTGTATTCATACACTGCAGGAGGGGGAAGAAATCTTTCTGGGAAAACATCTAGCCAATTTGTTGCAAATTAGGGTTCACAACAAAATATCATTATGCGTACGTACGAAACAACGGTTTAACTCCCGCCCCCCTCCCCCACTGTACGCAAATGTACGCATCGATCATACCCCCTCCCCCTCTCTCCTTGCGTACGTACTAAATGGATGCTCCCTAACCAATATTGCATGTATTTGAACTAGACAAACTGGCTCAGTAAGACCCTGCATGGGAACGAGATTGGTTTAAACATATCAGCAAGCTTTCGTTCGTAGGGATACAATTATACCTAAAAATACAACGAGAATTAAGTATTTCCCTTTGTCGGGAAATTAATTGGCACTACCTATACTGTATACTGGCACACACAGTTCAAGATTAAATATCAGTACTTCTGGGGTTTTTTTGTTCCATACAGGTGCGCGATATATTTAATAATCATGGGGAAGCTTCCGTAATTGGTCGATTGGCTTTGAAGGGCCTGGTTGATAACAATTATCTAAAACCTGTAATATGGGCAGAGCATAAAGAAAGAGCAGAGTGCTTTGGTGTCTCCCTTGGTGTCAGATCCTTTGTTCGACCGTTATACCTTTTTATTAAATTGAGTCAATTACGAAATGTGGAAAATTGCTATAATGGCGTGAAACTTGAAGACGTGGACGCCTTTCAAAGCATGGATAGACAAAGCATGGAATATAAAAGATCGAAAACTCCTAAAAGGTCTGCATACAAGAAGAGCAAAGACGAGACCAAACTCGAGGTGAAAGAGCCCTGCGAAAGTTGTCGAGTTTTCTTTGATGGATTTAACGAAGAGAGCAAAGGGTCTTTTCCGCCATTCGGAAATTGCGCGGAATACGATGTAATTCGAACAGTGAATTTAGATTATGAGCTGGGTTGCACTGAAACGAGAAAGCACTGGGAAGTTTTCAAATCAGCGTGTGAGAGACATTTTAAAGAATTTAACGAGCTCGCAAAGAACCTGGAAGAACTTGGGAATCAATCTCAAAATGAAATAATGGAAACATATTACACAAATACACGCAACGCAAAGGTTTTAAAATACCAAAGATATTCTGATGGCTACGAATTAGTTGCAATAGGGGCTAGGCCTTGGGACAAGGGGCCACCAGGTAGGGCTAGAAATAGTGAAATGATGGTAAATAATTATAAGAAAATGAAAATAAGTTAAAAAGTACAATGAATGATTTATGATCATTAAGCGTAGTTTATATATCTGTATAATTTCTTTTTTATTATATGTAAATAAGCTTTTCTATTTATGTAAAACTGTACAAGTAACAATTGAATTGTTTTTTTATATAGTTGCATATTTTGAATGTGCCAACATTAATTTGCATCAATTTAATTTGTTAAATTTAACCCTTTTTAAAGTGTATTACTTAGACCTATGTGAATTTTAAATGAAATTAAATCTTTCCAGTGATCGGTGATGATGTTTGTACTTCTTTTTCCACCTGAGAAACCACCAATACTTTTAATGCATGAATACGCACAAAAAAATAAACACCTATAGGGGGCTAAAAAGCGGAAATACGATATACACAGTACTAGAAAATAAATTGCTATTTCTAGGTGTTTCCACAAACCAAACCATATACTACACAAATACCTTATTAAATTTTATACTTTTGTCACAACAAAATAAATCAATAAATAAACCTCGTTCCCGGGAGCTAACCCATTGTAATGAAGATAGCTGGAACGCTACGGCTTCAGAAAAACTGCTTACCCCCCCCCCCCCCCCA